TTTACACAATTGATGTATGTATGGATTGTGATAAGAGTTGTATGAGCCCCTAATAAAACTATTAAAAAACAACAATGAACTGTTCTTAGATTGGGGCTAAAATTAAGTGAGTCCAAAATCATTCACATATCTATATGGTTTACATGTTCGTAATTCATAGAGACATCACTGTCATTTTATGTTAGAGAACATGCTCAAACATCCCCCTGGGGAATTAGGTAATTCTACTGGTAGTGTCACGAATTTAGCCGATGGTATAGAACTGAGAACATTTTGGAGAAAAGGAAATCAAAAGGTCTGCTATGAAGATGACTTTCTGACTTTTACAGTTTAAACTCGTGACGGACGCTACTTACATAAACAATGAGGCTTAGTTCAATGATATTCATTCATAACAACAAAACCAGGCCTACCAGATTAATACATGTCAAATTAAGAATGGAGGCATTAAAATAGTATGTGGTAGTCCCGGGCCACCATTCATTGGGCACCCTCAAGGCAAGAGATCCAAACCAAAGTCCAGGGGCAGCCAGTTCTATCTATGCCCTTGGGATAGCAGTCATCTGCTTCTTCTCACACTAGGGAATTTCAGCCTGAAGTCCAAGGACTACAGTTGAGTTTGAAGTAAAGCCCAGTTTCCACATCAAGTGCTTGTGGTGTAGCCTATGAAAGATGTGCGCCTCAGAACAGAGCTTAAAATCCCAGTAATCTGTAGCACACGGCCTGCGCCACCAAGGGCTGGGTAAAAATTAGGTCAAGTGTTCAACTGGGAACATAATACTGGGCATATTCTCCCTTTAGGCTCTATGCAATCATTGTTAAGCATTTTTTTTCCTTCCTGATGATGAGATGTTGCTCTACCCCGTTTTTCTACCAATAGAAATTTAATTCTCTTCTCTGAGACATATGCTCCACGCCCTGAAATCTGGACTTGAATTTCCAGTAAGGTTCCCTGATCACTCTGGTATGAGTGTCTGTTGATTTGGGGTGACCTTAGCAATTTTGTATGGCAGCAACTTTTACCTCTCTCCTATCCTGAAAAACCACTCCCAGCTCAGGTGAGATCTCTGTCGAACCAATTTTTAAGATGTACATATATGAGGTTCATAGGCACTAGGGAGGCAGTCTACAGTGTAGCTTGGGACACCAGGTTAGATGATTACCTGAGAGCAGAAGCCTGCCTTCGCCTAGGTGTTTATCCTTACAGTAGTAGACCCATGCAATATTCGTCCTTCAGTGGCTGACTAACTTCACCCAGCATAATGGGTTCTTGGTCCCTCCATGTCAAGAGGTATTCCTTGGTTTTATCAATATTTTTTTGGGATGCATAGTATTCCGTTGTGTGCATGTACCTGAGTTTCTTTATCTATTCTTCTACTGATGGGCCTTTGTGCTGTGTCCAGTTTCTTCCTATTGTGAACTGTGGTGCAATGAACACGGGAGAGCAGACGTCTATCTGTGCTGTCTCTTATTTCTTTGGGGTATATATATCCCAGCAAAGGAACTGCTGGGTCACATGGTACTTCTACTGCCAGTTGTTTTCGGTATTGCCGCATTGCTTTCCACCATGGTTTCCGTATTTACAAGCCCACCAGCAAAGCCTAGGAATTCTAATCGCTCCATACCGTCTCCAGCATGTATTGTTCTGTTTTTGCCCCTCTAAATTGGGCTATCCTGGTGGGTGACTGGCATTTCCCAGATGGCTTCACTGCCATTTTTTTTGGGGGGGGGGGGGGTGCGCGCACCATTGCATCTTTCTCTCTTTTTTTTAAATCACTGCCATTCTTTTAAAGAAAACAACTGGAAAGAACTATCTAAACTCACTGTTTCCAGTGTCTCTCCTCTTCCCTTTTCCACTGAGCTACCTCACTCAGGCGGTCGCCTCACTACTCCTGTGCAGCGGCTTTTGTCAAGGCCAAATCTGTAGTGAATTCAGTCCTTACTTGCCCTACGAGCCAAGTTGATACAGTTGATCACTCCTCTCTTTAGAAATGTTCTTTATCTTGCTTCCAGCTAGCCCTTCCTTTGGCTTTCTGCCGCAATGATTGCTCCTTTGTTCTTCGAATGTTGTACTGCTTCGAGTTGTCAACTCTATAAATGGCTTCCCCTTCTCCATCTACACACTGAATAGCAAGTCTCAATATGTGTCTTCAGCTGGCACCTCTCCCCTGAACTCCACACGCACACAACTAACAGGCTTCTCTCAGATTGTTTCCCATCTCCGTAAATGGCACCTCTGTTCTCCTAGGTTCTTAGGTCAGAAACACCACCTCAGATTCTTTATCTAATGCTATCCCCATCTGTCAACTATCTTGTAGTTATACTTTCAAAACACACTCGGAATTTTATTTTTTAATTGATATCTCCAATGGTATCACTCTCTTCCAATCCACTGAAATGATTATATCAGCCCCTAAATGAATCTCCTGCTTTTTTGTTGCTTTTTACTTACAGTCTGTGCTCAGAGTCCTGGTGGCATCGTGGTGGCATTAGAAGTCCCACAGGTCAGCAGTTAGAAACCACCGGAGAAAAATGGGGGTTTCACCTCCTAAAGAGTTACCGTCATGGAAACCCACAGGAGCAGGCAGTTCTACCCTGTCCTACAGGGTCGCTTTAGACTATAGACTTGATGGCAGAGAACGAGTAGTCTGTGCTTACAGTACACAGGCACACTTGTAAAATGTCCGACCATGATTTTCTGAGCTCAAAATTCAATGGCTTCTAAGCTCACTCACTCTGAAATTAAGTCCTTACTATGGCCTCCACGGCTCTAAACTAAGGCTTCTCAAATTTGAGTGTGCATACAAATTACTGAGGGAGTTCCTTAAAACACGGCTTTTTTGGATAGTAGTTCTGGTATGCACTTTCTATTACTGATGAGTTCTCAGATCTGGTCTAAGGAAGCATACAACGACGTACACACTTCTCACCGGACTGTTTTTCCTAGCCTTTAACTGCCAGTGGGGTGCTGAGTCCAACCACCTTGGGTTTCCCCCTTCTCAAGAGTCTTTTCACGGGCTTTTCTGTCTTCCTGAAATGTCCTTCCCTGAGAACCTGCTAAGCTAATATCCTCAAGGTCCAGGTTCAAATGCCACCCATCAGCAAGGCTTCTCAGATAACCAACACAAATGACACTCCTCCCCCAGCACATCCTGTCTTACTTTGCATTACTCTTCTCCTTGGCACGGACATGCTCCTGATTTACTTATTTGTGAGTGCAGTGTTGAGAGAAAGGACTTTGTCCAGTGCCCAGACCACAATTTGTGCCTGGCTCATAGCAGATGGTCAGTCAACACTTACGCAAAGAATTAACTGATTTAACCTTGTATATTGACAGAACTTGCATTTAGACTTCTAAGCATCAAAATCTTCAAAGAAACAACTCAAACTCAGAAGAGACCAAGAGATGGGTAGAACACCCAAGACTGGCCCTTTGTCACCCTTTATTCTAAAACTAAACTCAGTCCCGTTGGTCAATTTTCAGCCAACAAATAGACAGGTATCTTGAGATTCAAATCTTCAACCTTTAGTTAGTTGCTGAGCATGTTAATCGTTTATAGCATCCAAGGGCCTCAATAGGCAACAAGCTAGAATCATCTCAACAAGCTTCTATTAGAACCAACCCTTCCTTAACGATAAATGTAATTATTATGTCTGTCATTACAGATGAGGAAACTGAGGCACAGAGAGTATAAGGAACTTTGTCCAAGGCAGAGGCAGTAGCGCCAGGATCCAAATCAAGGCAATCTGGCTTCTGAGTCTTACTCTTTCCTCCATCTACCTTTCCCAAGCAACCTGAAACGAAGACCCTTCCCAACAAGCACAGCAACATCATGGGGTCTTGTTGGCAATGGAGGACTTGTTCTTGCTCGCTGACAGGTTTTGGTGGATCAGAGCTAATCTGCAGTGCAGCTACAGGTGTCGTTTCTTTCCATTGTCAAACACTCTTGCAAACAAGATATACTGACGTCCGAAAAGTATTTACCTGCAATTGGTCAAGCTCCAGACAACCTGAGTAAGCTCTAACTATGAAATCCTTAAGGACTTAGTTTTGATATACAGTACAAAGAATTAAAGCAATGTTTTCAGAAAGTGGGTGATACCCAACCTGGGGAGTGCTGGAATAATCCAGGGGGCTGCAAAAGCAGATACACGCACTTTATCCTGGATTAGGGGCTCTAGTTTAAATACTTTTTTTTTTTTTAGTTTAAATACTTTTAATTGCCAGAGGGGCACTGAATAACTGCCCCCCTTTAAAAAGGGGGCAATAAACCAAGTAAGTTTGGGAACCTGTGAACTCAACCCCCCTGTCCTCCCAGCCAAAGGGTAACCACATATACCGATATTACTTAACTTATTGAATATCTCAGAGAAGGTGGTATTCTTCGTACCGGATAACTATGCACCATGAGAAAAACCGAGGGAGGAATAGGACCGCCATGTTCCTGGCCCTCGGTGAGCTTAATGGTGGAGAACAGACAGGCAATGGGATTGTGGTTTTGACAGGTGAGGCATGCTGACAGTTCAGTAGTCTTACCTTTAAGCTGTGATGCAAGATGTCTGACCGGCAGCACCTCTTGTACAACATACTGATTCACCCCTCCACTTTTCAACAGCTCCTCCAAAGATAAGGGCAGACGGAACTCACAGAGCTGCGGAGGCATCTTTGGCCCTCTGGCTCACAGGCTGGAAAGCAAACAGCAGACATGTTGGGGTCTATATCTAAGCACTGCCTTTTACCTGGCTCTGTTATTTTCCCCACCTCCAATGCATAAGGATGCTTTTCAGTCTCATAGAAAGCTAGTAACATTCTTCAAGGATCCGAGGCACAAGCTCAACCAAATTAGAATCGAATACTAGTTGGGACTCTCTGGCCTGGTCTAACTTCCTAAACCTCATCTGTAAAGTGGGATTACCAATCTGATTACTTTACAATACTGCTCTGGAGATCAAATCAGTCAAGGAGTAAGACAGTGATTTAAGAACTGCAAATTGGCATAAACCAAACCAAACCCATTGTCCTCCAGCGGATCTCAACTTATAGGGATCCCATAGGATTAAGTAGAACCCATAGATTACGTTTCCAAGGCTGCAAATCTTTATCACAGCAGACTGCCACTTCTTTCTGCCGCAGTCTCTTGGTGGGGCCCAACTGAGAGCTTTAACCACTGCACCACCAGGGCATGCTTGTAAAGCATGTATGATGCTTGTAAAGCATCAATGTACAAAGTGATCAGTATATAGATTCCTCACCCAGCTTGAGGCAGTGAGTTTCCGGGCTCCCCAATGTGGGAACGTAACAAAACATCTTACTTGTTTATGCTGTAGCAGGCTGTTATGCTCCTTAACTATTTCACATCTAACTTAGGCCTCCCCAAACCTAAGCCCATGGAATGCATGGATGGACACGATTAACAGATGCAATGGTTTGAGTTAAGAGGGGTTATTTTAGTGATTTGTCCAAATTACAAGATTCCGTTGGGGATCTGGTCTAACTTCCTATCACATTGGAACCCCCAACAAATCCCTGCTCGGCTTTCCCGCCTCTCCGACTGCTTAATACCGAGTCCTACTGCCAATCCTCCAATTCTCAGCTTTCCACTGCCCGCTCCCCATTAATACCACACCTGAGTCGAGCCTCTCACCAACCGCTCCTCCGACTGGATCGGACCTACGTGCAAGGGGCAGGGGAGAACACTCACACACTCAACACCCGGACTGCACAATACTCACCAACCAGCGAGGGAGCTTCTGAGCGCGCGGAAAACTAACCAATGCCCTCCGGGCGGAAACAAAAACCCGCCTCTCGATAAGGCGCCGCGCGAGCGAAGCCACAACTGGAGTTCAACTATCAACGGCTATAAAGGGACCAATTGCAATGTTCGCTGTAGAAACCGACCAATCACAGCAGAGAAGCCTGAGCGCCCGAGCGCGCTGCCAAGGGGCGGGGCCCAAGGCCCAGCTCTGAGCCCGCCCCTCGGCTCCCCCGAGCTTCACCTCAGGCCGCGCCACGCGGCCTACAGGGTTGTCTTTTCTCCGGTCGGGGTCCGGGAAGGTTCTGGACACTGCTAGGGTCCCTAGTCAGTGGCCCACTCAGGCGCCCCCCAGGGAAGGAGGCAGGTCCAGGCTGAGTTAAAAGGCTTGGGCGCTAATCCAATTTCCTTCTGCGTTATGTCCCACCGAGTTTCACGTTCTGCCTCTAAAATGGGGCAAGAAAACAGTTGACGCCCTAAGAGGAGGTTCGGAGGAGAGGGCTGCGCCTTTGAACACCCGAAGCTCTGGGTTCCAGACTCCGCTTTCCCTCACAGTTAAGGCCCGAGAAACCAACAATGGACGAGCTTGCACCTCCTGAGCGAGGAGGCCGGCAAACACCGGCGGGCCGGGCGGCCGGAAGCGCGCGGGCGGGGGAGGCGTGCCGAGCGTTCGCGCGCCGGAAGCTGGTGGAGGGGGCGGGCCCTGCGCCCGGTGCTTTCTGGGAAAGACAGGCTCGCCATGGCTGCTTCTGGTCTCGGCCGGGAGGCAGGTCAGCCGTGACGCTTCTCCTCCTTATCGCCTTGAGGAAGTCGCCGGGTCCTACTGTTTGCAGCCGTGCAGTGTGTCCTTGTAGGACAGACGAGAGCAATGGCAGGGGCTCTCCCCTGGGGATTAGGCAGGAGCCTTTGGGGCTGGGTGCCCTTAGCCTGCAGGAGCTTTTCTCTGGGTAAGTAGCTGATGGAGAAACGTCCCAGGAACCGCTTTCACTAGGTGTCTCAGACTCATTCTTTCCCCCTCCGCTTCCTTAGGCGTTCCAGGATTGTCCCGTGTAAGACTCACCCTCCCACCCCTTAAAGTCGTCGATCGTTGGAATGAGAGGAGGGCCTTGTTCGGGGTGTATGATAACATTGGGATCCTGGGTAAGACTTCACCCCCTATGGAATTCACTGTGGCTATTACGCCAGCACGACTCATTTTTTCTAAACCTTCCCCCCACCCCCACCCCACCCCCGCGTTTAGCTACTACGGGAACCCAGGTGGTGTAGTGGCCACCAGCTAGACTGCTAACTAAGTTCAAAACCACCAGCCACTCCTCCGGAGAAAGAGTAGGCTTTCTACTCCCCTAAAGAGTTACAGTCTTGGAAGCCCACAGGGGCAGCTCTCCAGGGTCCGCTGAGTCGGAATGCACTCGATGGCAGTGAGTTTGGGGTATTTTTGTGTGTGCCTGTAGATAATGGTGCCATTTTCAACAGTAAGAACACACACTTGAAACACTTGTGTGTTTCCGTTCTTGGTCTTGTGCGCTATTTTGAGTGCTGAAGTGTTTAATCCAATAGCCCTTTCTTTCACTTAGAAGATGAAGAAACGGAAGGACAGAGATTTGAGTGACTCTCCCCCGCCCAAAGCTAGTAAATGGCAGTGCCAGAACCTGAACCCCAAGCCGTCTGACTCGAGTCTTCCCTGGACTTTGTCCTAGTGCTAAGGAAGGTGCAACTGCCCATTAAAGTTTAGCGGGGCCAGGCTGTGTTCTCTTGTTCTGGAACTAATATGCTCTTCCACAATTATACAGGTGACTTTGAGAAACACCCCAAAGAACTGATCAAGGGCCCCAAATGGCTTCGAGGTTGGAAGGGGAATGAATTACAACGTTGTATCAGAAAGAGGAAAATGGTTGGGAATCGAATGTTCCTTGATGACCTGCACAAGCTTAACAAACGCATTCGTTATCTTTACAAACATTTTAATCGTCATGGAAAATACCGGTAGAAGAGAAAATGGAACTGTGGAAGTGGTACATGCTGTCACCTTGAATACGGCAATAGTACATTTCCTTATGAAGAAAGAAAGTTGTGTGTTTTCTGCATTAAAAGGGGTTTTGTTTGGAGTCTTATATCCACAAACATTTCTAGTAGATGTTGCTTGTACTTAATTCAAGGAACCCTGCTGGCACTGGGGGTTAAGTGCTGGCAGTTCAAGCCAATCCCTGGGAGAAAGATGGGCCTTCTATAGAGAGTCTCTAGGATATATTGAGAGTGGCAACTTAAAAAAATCATTTTATTGGGGGCTCATACAACTCATAACCATCCATCCATTCTGTCAAGCACATTTGTTGGAGAGTGGTAATTTTTTATTACCCTGTAATTTTGTGAGATCCAGCCTCACATCTGGATGGGTCCTAAGGGACGGTTGTGTAATTGAAGTGAAGAAATTGAGAAACAGACACAAGTTTGGGGGTGCTAGTTTCCTCCATGGCTTCAGAAGTCAGGTCCACGCAGAGAGATGTAATGTATTCCCAACATCCACTTATATCTTATGGGGGCAGGCAAGCCTCCCCTAATTACAAGTAACCATATACCGTATATACTCGAGTATAAGCCGAGGTTCAGCACATTTTTATATGCAGTTTTTTGAGGTAGAATTAGGTGCCTCGGCTGATAATTCGGATCGGCTTATACTTGAGTATATATGGTACATAACAAAGTGGGCTGTATCCCTAGCCCTAGAGGTCCCTGAGTTCATTGGAGGAATAACCTAAGAGCAGTGCTGGGGCAGGGAAGGCGGGGAGTGACTGTCTCCTGAGCCAGGAGAACAATAGCACATGGCTGTTCCTATACTTGAAGGTGCCGGCCCGATAACAATCAGCCTTGTGCTTGTAAGAGGTAACTTTAAGGCAGCACTATTATGGGAAGATATTGTGGGGATCAATATTAATTTTGAGAATGTGATTGGGACTCATCTCTAACTCAAAACTGTGAAGACCTCCCTCCATCTAGAATCCTGGCCTGCCAGGCTTCTTAAAATATCAGAATAAAAAATTCACCTGCATACACTCTTCCCATCCCTCGGTTTCTCACACTTAAGTTAAATCTATTTCTAAGTGTTCCTTCATAATGGAATGCAATGCAGTAGACATGTAATTGTGTTCCTACACTGCATTTTTGAGCTGGTAGCAAGGAAAACAGTATACAATACCTCCCCTCATGTGCTTCCTAGTTAGGAGTCTAGAAGCTACATCCTCACATATATACTTTACTGTGGCAACAAATAGTCTATGAAGAGTATAGGTGGATGACTCCTAAACCTGACTGGGCAGCAGTTTGCCACTTCAAAAGACTGGTCCTAACCCCCAAAGATTGATTCAGGTAGCTGGACTGACTCTTGAGCAGTGGTTTGGAAAAAAAATATATATGCACATAAAATGAAGTTTTAAAATTACGGTATGCAGATACAGAGCTTTCACAGCTATGTATATTTTATAACATCAGGCAACCATTATTACAGATTTCTTGTAGTCTTTATGTTCATGTGCAAGGGGCTCTGATGACACATCAGCACTGGGCTAACTGGAAGATTGCTACAAACCCACCAGGTTCCTTGGGAGAAAGATGAGCTATTAACTCATCCCCCTATACACACACACACCTCCCAACCCCCCTCCCGGGCCTGCAGTGCTTTTCATCCTCCATCCCGTCAGGACAGGTTGAGTCTGTGAGTCTATAGCTTCCACCCCAAGGATTTTCTTTTTACCAGCTTGGTGAAAAAAAAAACCCTGTAAGGTCCAGTCTGCCATTTTCTAGATGTATTGCCTTCATTGAGGGTCCCTGAGTGGAGCAAATCATTTGTACTTGGATACTGATCTACCCAGCACTACCGTGAAAGAATGGTGATCTACCCAGCACCACCGTGAAAGAATGGTCTGGGGATCTGCTTCCACAAAGATTACAGATAAACCCAGTAGTAAATTCCATCCACCTGTGGACAGTTGATTGTCCACAAAGGGTCAAAGTCCATTAAATGAGGAAGAGGGAGTCTCTTTAATAACTGATGCTGGCAAAGTTGGATATCCATACCTCACACTGTATACAACAATTAACTCAATGCGATACAACTCTAAATGTCAAATCTAAAAACTATAAAGTTCATAGGAAAAAATGGACAGATTTAGAGACCCTGATATATGACACGCATAGACTTTCAAACGTAAGTAGACTTGTAAACAGCAGACAGTCTAGGTAATCTAGACTGCACTAGATAGCTAGGACTGAATAAAAATTAATTCTTAAGCTGGTCAAAAGACATAACCCAAAGAGTAAAAACCTACAGACTAGAGAATTTTTTTGTATTAACATCTGATCAGAATCTAATCTCTAAAATTTGTAGAAAACTTGGAACACAGCAAAAAGACAGTGCAATGAAATGGACAAAGAATTCACAAAAAACATGAAGAGATGATTGTGATGATTAACCGTTAGATGCAAATCGGAATGACAATTAGGTACCATCTCTGGCTGTAATGGCAGTGATTAAGACAAAAATAAATGCTGGTGAGACGGGAAATTGGAAGTCATACACTGCTGGTGGGACTGCAAAACAGTCCATTCACTATTGGAAACGATAAGATGCTGATTTCTCTTGTATATCCTAAAAAAGAAAGGACCGTGACACGATTCGCTGATTAGACACATGCGCATCCATGTTCATTGCTGCAGCATTCACAATGGCAAAAAAGGTGAAAGCAACCTAAATATGAGATGAATGGATAAACAGTTTGTAGTGCATACATTCAATGGGATAGTACACAATGAGTTCCTGGGACATCTTAAATCATGGATGAATTTGGAGGAAATTTTGTTGAGTGGAATAAGTCAATTACAAAGGAACTTGTGAGACCGCCACTGTAAAAAGTCAAGGGTAGACTTAACATACAGGAAGAAACAAGGCTGGTTCCCAGGAAGGAAAGGAAGAATCACTAACCGATATGGGTTAGTCATTATAGGGGGGGGGGGAAAGGCAATACACAGTATGGGAGGAGTTAGTACAATGTTACCCAGGTTCAAGAAGGTCAGAGGTATGCAAGAACAAAGTACCCACAGTAAATGCTATTAACATACACAATCCTGCAATGATGTGAGTAGATAGGTACATCTGTATGTTAAGGTGAGGGAGGTCATTTGGGAGTGCACCTATGTACATACGCATCGCTGCAAATCATAGGAACGCTTAGTAAAGAGAAATCAAAATGTGAAGCTGTTGTTTCTCAACATGTTTTTCATCAGGCCTCTACACTTCTGAAGGTGTTTCCATCTCTAATCTTTCCTTGGAGAAGCAGTTTGGGCACCTCTGAGAGACTCAGATGGGTTCCTTTAAGTGTTTTTTGAGTTTAGGGAACAAAGTCTATAAAGGGGCAGGATCAGCGCTACAAGGTAGATGAGGTAAGTTTTCCCAGTGAAATTCTCATAGAAGAGCCAGTGCTACCCTGGAAGATTGAGTAGGTGCATTGTCACGAAGGGGGGAAAATTACTCGGTGAGATGTACCTGGTCTTTTCCTCGCCGGTGCAGTTTTCCATTTTCTT